CCCTCCAGTTTTTCTTTTTTTTTTTTTTTTTTTTTTACCCTGGTCTTTCTAGTCCCTTTATTTTTTGTTGGGGTGGGAGGGTGCTTATAGTGGGTAGTGAACAGTGTGCATGCAAGTGAGTGGGGGTGGGTGAGGAAGAGATTTAAGGGGCATTTTGTGTGGTTTGTGGTTCACCGTGCTTGGCTTCCAGTTGTGTGCATCACACAACAAATGTTGCCTGAGGACCTCGGTGCACAGATGGCTGGTCACATCTGTTGCAGGTACTCATGCACTCCACAGAAAAATAAGTAAATAAATAAAACACCCATGGATGAATAATGAGTTGCCTTTATGAACTGTCTATATGTTTTATGTTCACTTTTATAGGTTTCTTAACATGAAACAAAACAGACTGTATAATCTGGACTCGCTTTCTAATGCCGTTGAGTTGTTTTATCCTATAATCATATATATTAGGCGACTTAATCCATGTGTTGAGTCTCCTCTTGGTCCAATTTACAACTGCCAAACATTTCGCCAACTAAGATAAATTAATGAGGTTTTACTCTAACCTTAGCCAGCACATCCCTGCCTCCGTTACCCTCTACACTTCCCAACTCCACCTACCACTCACCCGTCGCCCGCATACACACGTCACTGGACCTCCCTCGATAAGATCATCATCTGTCGCTAGACTCTAGGGTCTGTTCCTGCACTCCACAGATACTTGGCAGACCAATGAATGTCCCTTTGTGTGGAGAGATCCTCCTCAGATAGCACCCAAGATGTGCCATGCTGGCATCTGTTTGTTTTGGGGTGTCCACTGTGTGTTATTGTGCTGCAGAATAGGATGCCTCCTCTCTCACTTCAGTGGCACATGACTGTATGCTTAGTTCCTTGGTGGCCTGCTCTGATTTAAAGAAAAAAAATGTTTAGATCTGTTTTTGTTTGTTTGTTGGTAATCACGTTCCTTTGTCTTCAATGGAAGGAGGTCATTATATATACTGTGTAAAAATGTGTGACTCCAAGGATAGCGATTCAAAGCCCCTCCCTATGTCCAGATTTTTGTACGTTTCCCCCGATTCCCTGTAATATATAGCGGTGAATTCTTGACATGTAATTTGTGATCTTGAGCAATGGCCCTGCTAATAATTTGAGATGACAATTTCTTCATCAAATTGCCTCTTTTTTCTGCAGCAGCGAACCTGCTTGTGATATTTCCACATAAGCTTTAATTTATGAATTTTAATTTGACTCTGCAGTTCAAAGAACTAACTGGAAGGTGGGAAAATTACTGTAAAACATATCCACAAAAGGTTTCCCAACTACACGGTAGAAGGCCTTGGTTATACGATTGGAAAGGGCAGATGTAATCATGAATAAAAGACAGACGCATATATATCCAGCTGTAACTTTGAATTAAGGCTAATAAATGGCTGCTGCTCAAAGTTCAACATGCATGGGGCAATTGAGATGTTCCTACTGAATCACAGTCATCTTCACTGATAGGCAGCCCTATAGAGACAGCAAATGGGCTATAAATTAATATACCACAAGAGCGGCATATGGGGGTGAAATAGAATGCGCTGTATCAGTTCGACAAGAGGTGTCACATCTTTATAGCAGATAGGCCTACGTGATATGAAATTTTACAGCTGAAGGAGAAATGTCACAGAGCTTTGATAAGAGAGCGATGAACTTTCTGCTTCCCCTTACCCAAACTGCTATTATCGGGTCTCACGGAGCAAAATGCAACATTTATAACCCACAGTTCACACTATTATCTCTTGGAAGAGGCACTTGCTTTAAAACACCTCTCAGCCACCACACAGTACATCTCATCCACCTCCTCCTCACTCTCGGCACCCACCTCTATTATCCCCAAAAAGCCTAAAGGGTGCTGCTCCTGTCTCCGCTTTTTGAAGAGCAGGAAGAAGGAGCTGATCGATTGTTCCCAGGCACTAACATCATTCCGTTCTCATGTGTGTCAAGAAAAAAAACAAAAACAAAACAAAGACGTAGTGCATTGCCCACTTCGGGTCAGACTGGTTTTCGGGCAATGTACAGTTAATGGGGAGCTTTAAAAAAAATAAGGGCTTTATTTTTTTTGCAGACTAGGGCAAAACAAGTACCGGTAGATGACGTAGACTGGGGGTGAATCACAATTAGTACTAATAGTAAAATAGCAATACAATGAAAAATATCAAAATACTTTTATCTTCATCATAATGGTTACGGAACATAGATTGTACGTTAAAATCACAGCAAGCAACAGGTGTATTTTTGGGTCGGGTCATTTCATTTGTCTGGGCTTGATTGTTACTTTGCTCATGCGGGTCAACTGTGTGTGTGTTGCAGGCCAGATGAGGTATTGAATATGACCGGATCAGGTTGGACACAGACCTGGAAAAAAAAATCCATGCAGGAGTCTACCCCACATAACTGCAAAATAGTAAATCGAGAACAAAGACGTAGTGCATTGCCCACTTCGGGTCAGACTGGTTTTCGGGCAATGTACAGTTAATGGGGAGCTTTAAAAAAAATAAGGGCTTTATTTTTTTTATTTTTTTTGCAGACTAGGGCAAAACAAGTACCGGTAGATGACGTAGACTGGGGGTGAATCACAATTAGTACTAATAGTAAAATAGCAATACAATGAAAAATATCAAAATACTTTTATCTTCATCATAATGGTTACGGAACATAGATTGTACGTTAAAATCACAGCAAGCAACAGGTGTATTTTTGGGTCGGGTCATTTCATTTGTCTGGGCTTGATTGTTACTTTGCTCATGCGGGTCAACTGTGTGTGTGTTGCAGGCCAGATGAGGTATTGAATATGACCGGATCAGGTTGGACACAGACCTGGAAAAAAAAATCCATGCAGGAGTCTACCCCACATAACTGCAAAATAGTAAATCGAGTATTGGCGGACTACGGCACTGAGCGTACCTGTGGAAAAGGCAAGGTTGAGTTGAGGCAACTAAAGCTCCTTTCAAACCCATTTTTTCCCCTTGAGACCATTCTTTGATTGC